AAAAAAAAAAAAAAAAAGACCTGCACTCACTGGCTCTGGCAGCAATGATCAGGACCCTTGAGGGCTTGTGGCAGAGTCCCCCATGCAGCGCGGGGTAGTGGGGATCGCCCTTCCCGCCTGGTACCTACACAGCAGCTGTCGCATTGTGCAGGTGGTGTGTGGCTCAGCAGGGCGCAGTGCACTGTCTGGGAGCAGGGGTGGCATCAGCAATCAGCCAGAGCCGGGCACCACACAGTCCCAGTGGCCCCAGCTCCCAGACAGCGCATAGCGCCCTGCTGAGCTGCGCTGCCACCCAGTGCCCCACACTGTACAGGGGAGGGGCTCTGCCATGAGCCTTCAGAGGCCCTGATCAGTGATCACCGCTGCTGCAGCTAGTGAGTTCTAGGCTTTTTTTTTTTAAAGTTCTGGGAGGCTGGGGCCAGGTAGGGGATGGGGCCAGGCAGAGCAGCCATGGGGGCTTCTCCCGCAGCTCCCCCCGCCCAGGGAGAGGCAGAGCTGGAGGAGCCACGGGAGAACCTGCAACCGCCTGGCTGTGGCTGCCTCTCCCCAGCCAATCCAAATCAGTGCCAAATCTCCAATTCTGATTCAACCAAATTGAATGGGGACAGTGATTCGAATCACCTAATCGAATCACTGTCCTCTGAATCGGTAGAATCTGAATCGAATACTTCCCTATTAGCACAGGCCTATTAAACACTGTTATTCTAGCAGAGGGGTATGAAAATCAAATTGTTTCATATTTCCTGCTTTGACACCAACACTGCCAGAGGTCCAGCTTTTGACTGGGGCGCTGACTGCCACAATGCAAAGACTGTGCTGCAGCCAGAGTCCCTTCCTACTGCTGGGGAAAGTGCTAGCCTAGTGGCTACTTGCAGCCACTGCCACTCAGTTGCCATTTGAGTTGCCAAGTGCTCATGATTCTCATGGCCACCAGAGCAGTACATTTGGTGGTGATGAAAACACCATAAGCAGGTGACTTCTTCCCCTGCTCCTCCATTTCAGCCCTAGGAGAAGACAGTGGGCCAGATGACTCACCTCCAGCCATATCCAGCCTGCCAAACATTAACAGCCTTGTTCTAGTATAACTCCATCTGTACTATTGTTTACTCACGTAACTACAACAGTAAAATATCACTGAAACAAAATATCTGTTCCAGTAAAACTTAAGAGAAGAACAGTAGTATTACTGAAGTACTATAATAAGATGATTAAGCACTGGAGAATACCATATAAAATTTATTTAAAATGAAAATATAATCTGTTTTTTCTGATTTTTTAGCAAACATAGGCTTGACTTGCTATTGAACTTCTAATTGAACAAACATTTTTTTTTTAGATCAATGAATGTATTCCTGATTGTATACCTCTGTATTCTAATAAGTAAAGCATTAATAAATACAGCCTTGAAGTATGTCTGGCAGAGTGATCCGTTTCGTGATGAACCATGGTATAACCAGAAAACAGAATCAGAAAGGAAAAGAAATCTGGTACGGAAAATAACTTATTTTTGCAGAACATTTGAGAAATGCTTGTTAGTAGAATCACCAGAAAACAAGATCATTTATAACATTTTTCAGAATTGTGCATCTAATTTCTACAGAAATTTTGGAAAAATGTAGTGAGCATACATATTTTTAAAATTAATCTGTCAGAATACAAATGAGAATCCTAATGATTAAAGTTAATAAATATTTTAAACTTTTCTGGTTCATTTTAAAACATCTCACTTTTTTTTGCCCCCATTTTCTGAAGCAAAAGGCTTTCTTTGCCCCATCTTGATCTCTTCTCAAAAAGCTTTGTCATCATCTTCCACTTACCCCCTGCTCCCCCTTTTTTTTAAGAACCAAAACAAAATTCAGTTGTTTATACCACATTGGAATTCAACTAATACCTGGAGTTTGATACTTCAGACTAATCTAAGTACACTGCATGAAATTTATCAGCTACATTTCTCTACTAAAATGATCATCAGTGAAATAATAAATGATCCTGAAATTCTTCAGTCTTACCTGTCTGTACAGAAAAATGGACCATGTGGGAGGATTGTTGAACTGGGGCATACCATGCTGTATATTCCTCTGTGAATTTCCGCCATTTGTTCTGGTTGGTTTTTATAGACGGATGAACATAACCATGTAGTAATTCATTTAGAAACAGATCTGTGCAATCATATGAACATAATATGTATGCATACACTTTGATACCTCAGGTTAAGAAAGGGAAACTTATCTGGTGTTCATGGAATACTTGAAGCCTGCATAAACCAGTAAAACTTCCCTGCTTTTACATTTATTTGTTTTCCTTTTCTGATGAATATTCTGTTAGCTATATTTTTATTTGTTTTCATAATTTATATTTTGTCATTCATTCAACACCCTCTAGAACTGTTAACACATTTATATGTAACTGAAACTGAGAGCTCTGTGCCTGTGCATGTAAAGGAGATTCTTATAGTATGTTGAGAGAGAGAGCTTTCTTCCTCATTTTACATTAGTAGTAAAGTCATAATCCTAATGGATGTACAAAGTGTGCCAGACATTGACTTCACTATAGAGAGAAGCATGGAAAGAAAAATTACAGTGATAGAAAAATGCGGATTTTATGCTATCAATACCCAAGAACATTTTTCCTACAAATAGGTTCACTTACTGTTTGTAAGGCATTAGGTATATAATCTTGCAAATGTGTATTTTAACTTTTAAATTTATGCTGATATGTGAGGAAAAATCATCTTCTGGTTTCATTTCTTTGGCAGTTTCTTAGAGCATTTACCGACTTCCTTGCGTTCATGGTTCTTTTCAACTACATTATTCCTGTATCCATGTATGTTACTGTGGAAATGCAGAAGTTTCTTGGTTCTTATTTCCTTACGTGGGATGAAGAAATGTTTGATGAGGACACAGGTGAAGGCCCTCTGGTGAATACTTCTGACCTCAATGAAGAGTTAGGGCAGGTAAATTTGTCATACAAGTTCTAACTGCTGGTAAACTTATTAACTGTTTCTAATAGTCAGTTATGGGCATTTTTAGCTTTAAAAATCAATTGTCACTTCAAAATTTGTTCTTAGGTGTGACCTGTATTTCAGATACATTCATTAATTTTAGATGTCCAACTTGAGATGCTTGACGCCAGACTTTGTGAAGCCAGCCAATGCACACTTCTCTCACATACCTTGGTGTAAGGGGACATCACTCATTTTTATCATTATGCTAACAATGTTCCACATAGCATTTGTGTCTCTTCACATTTATTGTTGAAAACTAAATCAGAATCATGGAAGTGAAGGCTTTATTTATTCTATGGACAGTAATCCCCACAGCATTTTCAGTTTCCTGAATAATCTCTTGTTTTGGGTCTTTGTCAAACAACATGTTCCACTTTCACATCTTGGCAGGCTGAGGGGTATGCATTTGTCAGTGTCAGTACTGACAGTTTTTGCCTGGTTTAAATCTCATTAGTTTGGGCACGTCTCACATCAGGAAATTTCCCGTCTTGAGTTTGCCCCCAAAAAAGGAAATTGTTGTATTCTGTATTATCAGAATGGGTACTTGGAAGCAGATATGTAGGTTCATTTTGGAAAGAGTCTGTGGTTTCTGGCACATGTTACACTTAAGATGCAGTTAACCAGTTAATCATGTCATAAGTAGTTACATGGCCACATGTTAATGCAATTAATGGTGTGATAAAACAATGAATAAACCACTAAGTTATAACACAAAGTACATGTAATAACTTTGTGGCTAGTTCCTGTCACACCATTAATTGAACATGTGCCGAGGATGGGGGTCCCAGCCACAGGAGCTCTTGGTAGCCCAGATTAGCTGACAGCTCCCCTCTGGCTGGGAGTCCAGATTAGCTGATGGCTTCCAGTTGCAGGAGCTTGCTACTTGCCTTTTGTTGGGGGATCCCCGGATCAAGATCCCAATCCCGAGCTCCCCCTACACTAGCAATAACATGTGATAGGATTTGATGCTAGATCCCACAATCACATGTGGCATGGCAAGGAGCACAATTGTAGGGCTTCTACATCAGATCCCATAGCATCTTTAATGGCCCACCTGCAATTAAATGTATTAATTTAATTAAATTGCCTACCTGCAATTGCAGGGCCTGCAAGGTACACCAGTTTATTAAAAAAAAATTCCCACATTATTAATTTTAAAAAATCAGTAAGGGAATGCATCAATTTTTAGCAATCGAGGTGTCATGTAACAATTTGGGGATCAGCTATTCTAAATGTTCTGTTGTGCTAAACCAAACTTACATTATGTAAACTAAAAGTGGTTCCAAAGAGAAGATACCTCACAACTAACTCCATTCTTGTACAAGAAATTAACTTTTTTTTGCACATTCTTTGTAATATAATCTTCACTCTGTGTGTAACCAAAGCTTTGATTTTTGTATCATTGTTGCCATTTGTGACATTTTTATTTTCTCTCAGTTTTATCCTAGCATAAACATTTTATTGCCTCAAATTATTATGTACTGGGTACTATTTCTACTTTATGTTCCTTTTATACATAAAAGAAATTTACAGGTTGATATTCTCTCATTAGAGTAGATTTCATTTCATAATTTGATACTAGGAACTTGAACTGGGATAATATTGTAAAGGTCATCTTGAAGATAAACTGGAATGAAGGGGTATAGTTATTTTTGGTGCAAAAAAGAAATCGCACTCATGGAAAAATATGGTCTTCTCACTTATTCAGTGGCTGTTAGATAGATTAATAGGAAGAAACCCAGCAATTGAGTTAAAATTTAACTTTTTTCTTGATGACTAGTGGTAAAAATTAATTATTATTATATTTATTATATTTAATACACTTAATATTAACTTCAACTTTGAAAATATTATAATAGCAATTGATAAAAATGATGCATCTGCTAGAGCCACTGTCAGTTCCTCTAAAGAGAAAACAAAAAAAAAAAATATCTTGGAGCAGACCTCATAGTCTAGTATCTCTGTTCTCCCTGCTTATAGTGTACTACTAGGTTTTCTTTCTGCCAGTATAAATATTGAATTGTAAGATTTTGTGAAAGATGAAACAAACAGTAAAAAAAAATCTGGGAAAAAATCGAGGTGCATTGAAATATTGCCATATTGGATCGGCACTGATAAAAGGAAAATTAATGTTATTGGCTATCAGCATTTTTTGGATGGTATAGCCAATAATGTACCAATAAATATAATGTGCCTCCTGGCTGGAGCCCAGGACACTGCATTTATGTGCACGGTCATAACATACACATGCCAGAAATGCAGCTGGGCAGGCAGTTAAGTCTGTGGAGGGGGAGGGAAGAGGCGTGAGGGGGGGGCGCAGATTGAGGCCCCCACAGTGAGGGAGGAACCCCCCAGGTTTGTGCATGAGGTGAGGACAGGTGGGCTGCCCTCTGTGGGATTGGGGAACTCTGTCCTGCTGTCTTTGCCCCAGGAACCGTGCACTGGTTGTGCCTGCCCTGCCCATCCAGCACTGGTGGCGTTGTGCCTCCCACTACTGAACAGGCAGGGGACGCGTGGCCACTGCGCAGCTGCCAGGGCAAAGGCAGTAGAGCGGAGAGCCCAGAGCCCACAGTGGGCAGCCTGCCTCTGTCCTTGCCCCGTGCACAAACCTGGGGGGTCCCTCCCTCACTGTGGGGGCCTCGATCTGCACCCCCATGCCCGTTACCTCCCCCTCCACTGTAAATTTGTTAACAGATTGGTATCACCCAATATGCCTGGTGAATAATCGGCTATTGGTATCGGCCAAGAAAATCTTTATTGGTGCCCCCTAAAAAATAGTTGCTAGGTTTAGGCTTGGTGAAAGAGGGCATGTGGACAGTTACATTACAGCAGCTGACACAAACAGTAAGCACCCTCCCCTTTTTAGCTTGCATGTACATTTTTCCATATCCGCTGGGTGATAAGCTACTTGGTTTAGCTTTCTCTTAACCCTTACAGGACACACAACAGTTGCAGTGAAGTAGCAAACTTTTAGTAAGTCCCCATCGCATTTTTACTTGCTGTAATTTGTTTGCCTATACCTAAAATTCAAAATCTGTCCATAAATAAATACAAAGTATTAATCTACTGACAAATAGACATATATCATATTTTTCAAGAAATGCTTATTGTAGCAAGCGAGACATTTAGCATGGTAAAAGAGGATGGTAAGGAAAATTAAGCTTATTATGCTTATTATTGGGTAAACTTAGCTCTGTTATCCCAGCAACTTTTGGGTAAACCAGTTTTGATGGAAGTTAACACCCCAAGGGTTTTGAATTATTTTATTTAATTCTTCTTTGGCAAAAGCTAGCAACTAGTCTTGCAAAAAATCATACCCAAATGTTAATTTAGGGACAAACAGCTTTCTCAAGGCTGGGCAACATATTCCAATCCCTTTTTGTTAATATATTTCCTTTTAGGTTGAATATGTCTTCACAGATAAAACAGGAACATTAACTGAGAACAACATGGAATTCATAGAGTGCTGCATTGAAGGGCATGTTTATATACCTCATGTCATCTGTAATGGGCAAATCCTCCATGATTGTACTGGCATTGATATGATTGACTCTTCTCCAGGAGCAAGTGGGAAAGTATGATGCACCTTTAAAGTTTTGGTGGGGTTTGAAATATGAAAATTGAATAAGGTTGATAAAAGAAATCCTATAAATATAATATTCTGTGATTGTTCATATTGTTGTAAGAATTACATTACAGCATATATACTTCCCCCTCTTAATTTAGATTAAGGTATTATTTGCATAATAAAGCATTTCTCAACAGAATCCATCTTTTAAAATGGTCAGATATCATTATTAAATAAAAAACAGAATAGGAAACTTTGCCTGGCTGATCCCTGTATTTTTGTACAGTTGACCAGTTTCCATTTTAAATCAGCCAAGGAAAACAAGGCAAAAAAACCCCTGATTTAAAAGTGGGAAACGGGTGAAAATATTGAATTATATATCTTAAGCAGGTGTAAAATGGGCATTTGGATAGTTTATTTGACATTCTGTATCCTTATGTTTCTCATCCTTGAGGATACGATTTGCAGGTGAGTTGTATAGTTTTTCTCTTCAGATCAAAACTACAGAAGCAATTCTGCTGTGAATGTGGGACATATACAACGAAGTATAGCTAAAGAACAAGTTGCAACTCACAGCTATTTATAGCCAATAACCTGTATGGTTACAGAACTCAACCAAATGTCCAGGACCAACAGTTACTATTTCAATGTGTTTTCCAAGCTGTACTCAAAAGGAAAGACCTGCCTTTGCTACTCTCTGAGAATGTCTGACGATGTCTCCTTGCTTAGAAGCGGTGGGAGCAGTGATCTGCAATTGGTCTCTATCCCAGTAAGTCTCAACTTCCCCCCTGGCTGTGTCCAGATGAGCACAGCTGTGCGGTATGTGGCGCTGCAGACATGTCTGCAGCGCCACATACCATACATTGAGCTGTTCTCTTTGCTGTAAGGGAGCACCGGGGCAGAGGGGAGGCTGACCTCTGAATATCCACAGGTTAAAAAAACCCATGCAAAAAACAAGAGGAGCAGCACACTCAGAGACAGTGTGCGCCACTCAAAACCAGAGCCTGGCTGGCCAGAGTGATGCTCCAGCTGCTAGCCAGGCTCCAAGTGGCAGATTCGCCACTGCTGCAGCCCCAGATGGACCCCAGGACCCCAGGTAAGGCTGCTGGGGCCATCCCAGTGCTGGTTCCACCCTTCCCTCCTGTACGTCAGTTCTGTGCTGCATCCAGTTTTGTTCAACATTTTCATCGGTGACCTGGAAATGGGAGTACGCAGTGAAATCTCCAAAGTTGGTGGATGATGCTAAATTATTCCAGGTAGTCAGATTCCAAGCTGGTCGAGACAAGCTGCAGAAAAATTTCTCAAAGATAAGTCAGTGGGCAAAAATGTGGCAGATGATCTTCAAAGTCAGCAACTGCAAGGTAATGCATACAAAGAAGAACAACCTCAATTATACATACATGAAGCTGGGCTCCTAACTAGTTGTTAACTCAGGACAAAGACCTTGGACTCATTGTAGATGGTTCTCTAAAACATCAGCTCACTGTGCAGCAGTGACTAAAAAGCTAATAAAATGTTGGGAATTATTAAAAAGGAGATTGAAAATAAAATGGAAAACATCATCAGGCCGCTGTATAAATCTGTGATGTGCCAGTATTCACACCTTGAATACTGTGTACAGTTCTGGTTTCTGCATCTCAAGTAGGATGTAGTGGAATTAGAAAAGGTACAAAGAAGAACAACCAAGATGATTAGCGAGATGGAGCAGCTGCCTTACTAGGAGAGCCTAAAAAAAAGACTAGGACTTCAGTTTGGAAAGGAGAAGGCTGAGGGCGGATATGATAAATGTCTATTAAATCATGAAAGGTGTGGACCAAGTAAATAGGGAACTGTTGTTATTCATCATGTCCCAGAATACTAATACTAGGAGGCATCTATTGAAATAAGCAGAAGACCAGTTTAAAACTAATAAGAGAAAATACTTCTTTACCTGGCAAGTAATTAATTTGTGGAATTTGTCACAGGAAGTTGTAAAAGAAGATAAAATAGCCAAGTTCAAAAAAGGATTAGACAAATTAATGGATGATCAGTCAATTAACAGCTGTTAAAACAGTCATGGATGTATCCCCTGACTTCCCTAAATCAATGATGGTGGATGCCAGGGAAAGTATGATAAAGGTTAGGTCACTCTAGATATGCCATGTTCATATCCTGTCCCTCTAACAATTTATTATTGTTACTATTGGAGACACGATAGTGGCTAGGTGGCCCATTGGTCTGGTATAGTATCATATTTCTGTACTGCTGAACAATACTATAATTACATTAAATAGTGTCTTTTAAAGAATTCCACAGACTTAATTTTACTTTCTTTAAAATTTAGCAGGATGATAGTTCTTTTGTCTTTATACTAGTAAGATAGATCAGACCTAGGCACCAAAGAATATTTTTCAGCCACAAGATTCAAGTCTCCATTTTTCCATAATTAAATTCTGTTTTTTTCAAATGTATGTTTTATGTATCTTAAACTTGGCCTTTTTCTCCTGGAGCCAGATTTTTCTGCAGGAACCTATCTACTCCAGACAACAATGATTCCTAAACTCTAGCATTTCAGCCCCAAATATGGTTACAGCACTTAATGAAAGGGTTCATGTGCACCGTCAATTATACCAGACAGGCTCAAACTAGAAATGGGTTCCTGAATTGGCTGGAACTGACATAACATGGCCCTAGAAGTGGGGTTGCTGTGGGAAAAGATTGGGAATTGCTGCCCAGCAGGCTTACCCTTCACAAGCAATCTACCTGAAAGTCTGGGCAAATCTTTCTTCTCCTCCCTCTCTTGTTCCAAGCAGGATTACATTGAGCAAACCAAAAATCTCTGATACAGGAATTACTGCAGAAGTCTGCCTTCCTCTTCCAAGCTGCTTACTGTTTTTTTTATGCTGACCAATTTGATATTTAGAACAGCACCTGACCCTGACCACAAAACCTTAGTTTGGAAGCTGCTGTTAGTTCCAATTTCTCACCTAATAATGCACATTCATAACTATATAAAACCAAACACAAATGAGAATAGTTTTAATTTTTTCTAAAACAGCATCCTTTAGAAGAAGAATTTAAAATGATAATACATAATTGTAATTTTCTCTTTATTTATTAGGAGAGAGAGGAGTTGTTTTTCCGAGCTCTTTGTCTTTGTCACACTGTTCAAGTGAAAGATGATGACAACATAGATGGACTAAAGAAAAGCCAGCTGTCGAGAAGGCCTTGTATATATATATCCTCATCACCAGATGAAGTTGCTTTAGTGGAAGGAATACAAAGGTTTGATTTCACATTGATACTAGTTAGGTCTCTGAAGCTTTTTCTCATATTTTTGTTTTCTTAGATTTATAGAAATACAAATCACTGAAGCAGAAACTTATTTTTATCAGAAAATGTAAAACAGCAAAGTACCATATGCTTATATTGTTCAGTCAAGATTCTAGTCTTCTCAATATGTAATAGTGGTGTTTTCTAGCTGTGAATGAAATAAAAAACAGGTAGCTTCTATTTCAGAAAAAAGTTAGTTTTAAAGACCTGGAAATTGCTAAACTGCAATATTATCAGTGTATTACTTATAATTTTAGAGAATCTAGTAGATTTTATGTTGAATTTTGTAGGCTTGGTTACACATATCTAAGGCTGAAGGACAACTTTATGGAAATTTTAAATCGAGAAAATGACATTGAGAGGTAAGTGCTTGTTGAAAATGAACTAACTGAAACTGAAGGGATGTTTAATTGTATACAACAAATCTCTCTTCCTGAAGGCATGTTCATGTGTAATTAAAAAAAATGACAGGAATTTAATGGAAAAAGTTAATGCAGTACTGATATTTATAAAGATCTTTTCATTTTA